CCCACTCCACTCCCTGCAGGCCAGGGACACCTTCCACCGGATCAGGTTGTTCCAAGCCCCATCCAGCCTGGAACATTCCAAGGATGGAGCAGCCACAGTTCCTCTGGTCAGACTGCTTGGCAGCCTGGTTTAATTAAGAGTGTTAACAACGGCTGAACGAGTGCTTGCTTTGTGCTCAGTCTGAGAAGGCCTTGCCCCAGCCATTAATCAAACCAGGGTGTGTTTCCTGCTGGTTTAGCACCTTGTGAGGACTGGGCTATGCTGGAGCCATTAATTATTAATTTCCTAATCAATCTCCATCCATCTGCCGCGGGTGCCTGACTTGCCTTTAACGCAAAGCCACAAAAATGGGTGTAATTCCCGTTTAAATTCCCTGGAGCAGCAGGGCTGGGCGTTGTGACCCGCTGTAATTCCAAGAGCACTTTGTCACCGGCACCGTTGGCTTCCAGGGCAGCTCTGAAATCCAGGGATGCAGCAGCACCGCTCCCACACGGAAGCCTCTGAATGGGAGCCCCTTTCCCAAGGCTGCAGCTGCGGCGTGAATGGGAGCGCGGCGGATTCCCTCGGATCAGTAGGGCCTTGTTCTGCGAGCGGAGGAGCTCCCGGGGGCTCTGCCGCTCTCTTTGTCCCCTGCCAAGCCCAGCCTGACTCCGAAAGGCGGGATTGGTGCTCGGAAAACCCGACTTCCAAAGGGCAGTGGAGATGCAGAGCCCTTAGGACGCGGAGTCGTTCCCATTGTGTTTGCATGCTCCAGGCAAGTTTTGGGAATATTTCCCAGAGCTTGCTATTGTTCAGTAGTGATTTTTGTTATTCCTAACGGAGTCCAAGGAAGGGTTCCCCTGGGAATGTTGGCTGGCTGAGGCTCTGCTGGGTTGGAGGTTGTGGCTGGGAGAAGCTTTGCTGACCAAAGCTCCATGGCTGAGTGTTCCCCTCGTTAATCCTGGAAGTCATCTCGGACAGACCTGGGCTTGGGAAGTGGCTTTGAGAGTAATAACAGACCCCATTTAGTCCTGCCTCTGTCTGGCAGGGATGGTTTCCTTGCATTTGGAATTCTTGGAATTGATGGGATTTCATACGTGAGTCTCTCCTGTGTCTCTGTGAGTTTTGGTGTTGGGGGATGGTGCTGGCTCTGAGGCTTAAATTCCCAAACTAGGATTGAATCTAACTCAATAAAATCCATCACTTTTAATTCCACTTGGCAACCCTGGGATCAGTCCAGGCTGGGGGATGAAGGGGTTGAGATCAGCCCTGGAAAAAAAACTTGGGAATGCTGGTGGATGAGAGCTGGACATGGCTATCCCAGAATCCCCCAAAGCCCTGGGCTGATCCCTCAGTGTGGGCAGCGGGAAAGGTGGGAATTCTGCCCCTCTGCCCCACTCAGGTGAGACCCCACCTGCAGGGCTGCTCCAGCCCTGGGGACAGAGCAGGACCGGGAGCTGCTGGAGAGAGTCTAGAGGAACCATGGAGCAGCTCCAGGGCTGGAGTCCCTTGGGAGCCAGGATGGGAGAGCTGAGAATGCTCACCTGGAGAGGAAAAGGATCCAGGGAGAGCTCAGAGACCCTTGAGCCTGAAGGGGCTCCAGGAGAGCTGGAGAGGGACTGGGGACAAGGGATGGAGGGACAGGAGCCAGGGAATGGCTCCCAGTGCCAGAGGGCAGGGATGGATGGGAGATTGGGAATTGGGAATTGCTGGCTGGGCTGGAATTGCCAGATTTGCTGTGGCTGCCCCTGGATCCCTGGCAGTGGCCAAGGCCAGGCTGGACATTGGGGCTGGAGCAGCCTGGGACAGTGGGAGGTGTTCCTGCCATGGCAGGGGGGCACTGGGTGGGGTTTAAGGTCCTTCCAACCTGAAGCATTCCATGATTCCATGATTCCCTGGCTATAACTCCCCATTCTTTTCTCCTGTAGTGGAGAAATATCAACGTAAAGGCTCATTTGTGAAAATTGGCAATATTGGCAATATTCCCTTCCTAGGAGGGGTTTGACCCTTTATCTGCTGCACTGAATCCTGTTTGCTGAGAAACTCAACAACCTTCCTGAATTTCTTCATATTCTTTGGATTAAATCCAGCTTGCTGTGACCGTGGCTGCAGAAATCCAGGGATTTCTGTCTGCTTTTTTTTTGGGATTGGAGCTGAAAGTGAAACTTGTGGTGTAAATAAAGGGAAACTGCTGTATCCAAACCCTCATTTCCATGTACTCTCTGTTTGGAGTGCTGGGATGAAAGGGATGTGTCCCAGCCTTTTTATCCGATCCCACTTTGTTCCTGAAGGATGGCAAAGGGCTCCCTTTCATCTGCAGGATTATGGAAATGGCCCCACCGGCTTGGGTTGACGTCGGTGCTTTTATCTTTTGCTTCAAGTTTTGAAGGATTATCCATGGTTCCCTTGTTCCCTGTCTCGAGATTTGATGGGAAGTGAGAGCAAAGAGCAAACTCCTTGCTGGAGTTGTTCAGGAAAAATTATGAAACCCAGGAATGAGGAAGGGAGAGGGAAATAGGTTGGTTGTTGGTGATGGCACCACAGGTTCTGGTTGTACCTGCATCCCGGTTTTGTCACCTTCTCCCAAAAAAAGCCTCCTTCAGCAGAAGACATGGCACAATTCCCAGTTTCCCAACTGGAATCCCAAACTGGGGATCCATCAGCTGCTGGAGGCATCAGCTGGTGGAAGAAGAGCTCAGAGGATGTGAGCAAAGAGACCCTGGCACAGCTGGCAGAGCCGACTGCTTTGTGGTCTGGGTTTTTAGCCATGAGCCCAATTATTTGGTTTTAAATTACCTGAGCCAGGAATTCATGCTGGGAAAAATCTGAGGAATCCAAAACTGGGAGGAACAGGAAGAGAGGATTGGATTGTGAATCTCTGCTCTCCTAAGGAGTTTCCTTCTGGTGACCAAGAAGGAAACTGAGGGAGTGGCTGGAGCTGTCTCAGGGAGGGATGGGATGGACAGCAGGGAAAGGTTCCACTATTCCAGAGGGTGCTGGCTCCCCAGGGAATGGTGACATTCCCGAGGCTGCCGGAGCTCCAGGAGCGTTTGGGCAGCTCTGCCAGGGATGCCCAGGCTGGGATTGTTGGGGGGTCTGTGCAGGGCTTGGAGCTGGATCCATGATCCCTGTGGGATCTGGATATTCCATGAATATGATGTTCCCATACAAAGGACGCTCTTCCCATTTTTTTGTTCCCACTTCCAAATGCCACCAAATTCCTCCTGGGTGAAGCCCACATAAAGCAAACTCTGATTTTATGGCTGATTGTTGTATTTGCCTCTAGTGCTTGGTTTGTGTTCCTTTAATATTGAAATAAGATTCCCATCTAAAGCAGAACACCCGGGAATATCTCCCTGTAATAACAAGGACGGGGATGTGATTTTGGAATGTAACATTTTTATTGCCTTTCCCTTTTTATTGCCACTTGTGCTGGCATTCTTGGCCCAGAGTGTCAATCCTTCACCTTTATTCCTGGGTTTTTTTTTTTTGGAATTGTTGCTTTTACTGGCCTAGCAATGGATATTTTCACATTGGTTCATCATTAATGCATCTTAAGGGATGCCTTTGAGCAAAGCCTGGATCCAGCAAGGGTGGATCCCTCACCACAGGGGACTCAGGATGTCACAGCCCAGAGTGTGATTTTATATTTATATTAATATTATTTATATTTATATTTATATTTATATTTATATTTATATTTATATTTATATTTATATTTATATTTATATTTATATTTATATTTATATTTATTAATATTTTTATATATTTATATTTTAGTAATTTTTGTATTTTTGTATTTTTATTTATATATTGATATAATTTATCTTTCTATTGTTAATATTAGTTAATATTGTTTATATTCTTTATAATTTAGTTATATCCATCTTCTCCAATTAATTGCTGCCTTGTCCCTTATTATTGAGCATTTGCTCCTCTTCTATCACATGGAAATATTTCATGGAAAAGGAGAGACAAGGAAAGAGAATTAAATTTAATCACTTCTTTCCGAGATCAGCATCTCCCCATCAACCTGTGCTGACTGCTCCCACTTCACCTGGCCGTAGGATTTTATGGGAATTTTATGAGAATTATGGGAATTAGGTGTGAACTGCAGGTTGTACATCCCAGAGAGGGAAAAACGCCTCTCTCTGGGATTGTTCAGTCTCTCCATGTGAAAAGGGATGATGTCCCAAGGGAGATGCCTCACTGGATTCAAACTCCAGGAATCCATCCTCGTTGGCAGCCCAGTTCCCAGGGGTTCATTGGGGAGAAGGTGGATGAGTGGCAGGATCTGACTTGAGGAGAACAGGCTTCCCATGCCAAAGAAGTTCTTTACTAATTCCTTTTTCCAAGGTTTCCAATCCATTGTGCTGGCACCTGTCCCACACGTGACACATTCGGTCCCAAACGTGGCTTTGGGGCTGTCCATCCATGTATCCCTGCTCCCATCAATCCATCAATCCCCACCTGCCTCTGCATGCCCAGGGAATGTGGCTGCCTCTGGATCCCTGGAAGTGTCCAAGGCCAGATTGGACAGGGCTTGGAGCAGCCTGGGATCATGGAAGGTGTCCCTGCCCATGGCAAGGGATGGCACTGGATGGGATTGAAGGTCCCTCCCAACCCAAACCATTCCAGGATTTTGTGATTCCATGGCTGTAACTCTCCCTGCTTTTATCTCCTTCTCCTTTCCTTACTGGAACAACCAGTCAGAGCTGGAACAAGAAACCAGGGAGTGCTAGGACACAGGGAATGGATTCCCACTGCCAGAGGGCGGGGATGGATGGGATACAGGGTAGAAATTCCTGTCTGGGAGGGTGGGGAGGCCCTGGCACAGGGTGCCCAGACCAGCTGGGGCTGCCCCTGGATCCCTGGAAGTGTCCAAGGCCGGGCTGGATGGGGCTTGGAACAACCTGGGACAGTGGAACGTGGAACCCCACGGCGGGGGTGGAATGGGATGATCTTTAGGATCCCTTCCATCCCAACCATTCCCTGATTCTGTGATTCCTGTTGTTTTGCAGCATCCCCTTCCATCAAGCTCCTCGTGGACGACCCCATCGTGGTGAACCCTGGCGAAGCCATCACCTTGGTGTGTGTGACCACCGGGGGGGAGCCGGCACCCAGCCTGACGTGGGTGAGGTCTGCGGGGGTCCTGCCCGACAAGACCGTCCTGAATGGGGGCACTCTGACCATTCCCGCCATCACCTCCGAGGATTCCGGCACCTACAGTTGCATCGCCAACAACAATGTCGGCAATCCCGCGAAAAAGTCCACCAACATCATTGTAAGAGGTGAGTTCAGTTGGAAAACCATGGACTTTTCTCCTGGAAGGTTATTTCTGTCCTAATCTAGTGAGACAGCATTCAATGTTCAATGTTCAATGTTCAACGTTTAACAATTCAGTGTTCAACATTCAATGTTCAACATTCAATGTTCAATATTTAACAGTTGATTTCCAATGTTCAACATTCAATGTTCAACATTCAGCGTTCAACATTCAACATTCAATGTTCAACATTGAATGTTCAATGTTGAACATTCAATGTTCAACATTTAACAGTTGATTTTCAATGTTCAACATTCAATGTTCAACTTTCAGCGTTCAACATTCAATGTTCAACATTCAATGTTCAATGTTCAACATTCAATGTTCAACATTTAACAGTTGATTTTCAATGTTCAACTTTCAGCGTTCAACATTCAATGTTCAACTTTCAGTGTTCAATGTTCAACATTCAATATTCAACATTCAACAGCTGACTTTCAATGTTCAGCATTCAGTGTTGAACATTCAACATTTAACGTTCAATGTTCAATGTTCAACGTTTAACAGTTCAGCATTCAATGTTTGATGTTCAACATTCAACATTCAACACTCAACATTCAATGTTCAACGTTCAACAGTTGATTTTCAATGTTCAACATCCAATGTTTAGCATTCAACAGTTGATGTTCAATGTTCAATGTTCAACGTTTAACAGTTCAGCATTCAATGTTTGATGTTCAACATTTAAGAGCTGATGTTCAAAGTTCAATGTTCAATGTTCAACATTCAGTGTTCAATGTTCAAAGTTCAGCATTCAGTGTTCAAGGTTCATCGTTCAACATTCATCGTTGTGGGTGTCTTCCATTTCCAGATGGTCCTGGTTGGACTAACTCTTGAAGGTCTCTTTCAACCTTGATCATTCTTTCATTCCAGGATTTCTGGTCATTTCTTAGCATTGGTTTCCAAGACTTCCAGAGTTCTTGTGCTGGGATAAAAGCCCTGAGGTGGAAAAAGGGTGGATTGGTGCCTTTTTGTGTTGGGGAGGTGCAGCAGCTTTTCCGTGCAAAGTGAAGAGAAATTGGTTTGCGCAGTCTGGAGGGGACTGAGGGGAGACCTCGCTGTGGTCTTCATCATCCTCCTGAGGAGCAGCTCTGATTTATTGTCCCTGTGACCAGGGACAGGAGCCAGGGAGCAGCTGGAGCTGGGCCAGGGTGGGTCAGGCTGGAGATCAGGAAAGGTGCTTCCCCCAGAGGGTGGAATGAGCTCTGGAAAAGCTCCCCAGGGAATGGGCACAGCCCCGAGGCTGCCGGAGCTCCAGGAGCGTTTGGGCAGCGCTGCCAGGGATGCCCAGGCTGGGATTGTTGGGGGGTCTGGGCAGGGACAGGATTGGACTCCATGATCCTTGTGAGACCCTTCCCATTTAGGATATTCCAGGTTTCTATAAAATGATCACCAAAGTCCTTGGATGTATCCTGTGCTCATGGAATTCCCATTGCCTCCTTCCTTCCTCCTTATCTGAAGCTGTTACTAAAATTAAGGCTGGGAATGTCCTCCCTGGTGGGGAGCTTTAGATGGATTCCTGTGCTTTAATTCCCAGAGGTATCAGGAAAAGTGTCTGTCTGAGGTGAAAATAAAAGAGGAGGATTTACCCAACAATTGTTCCCAGCTGGAGGGAATCTTTCCCTGCTCGTTTATTCCCTTCTGGAAAATCCCTGGGACACAGGCAGTTGGTTTGGATACAGAGCTGGATTGGCATCATCAGAGGGGATTCACCTCCCTGAACCAAACGCTTCATCTGAACCTCATTTTCCACAATTTAATCTGGGAATGGTGGTGAAACATAAACTCCAAGCTGTGGGAACTTGAAAGAATAACCTGGGATTAATCAGACTAGGGAAAAACTGATGGATAAAGAGCCAGTGTGGGAATATGCTGGGGGAGCCACAACCCCTGCTCACTTCTTATTCCCCAGCAGGACAAGGAATTAGGAGCTATATGTGTCCTGGGGGTCAGGAGAGAGCATTGGATCAGCCTGGATTGGATCAGGAGATAGGCACGGATTTTTTTGGAATATTGTGTTTGAATTTCTGACATTTTGCTTCGAGTTCTGTTGTCATTCCTCAGCTTTGGAACATTAATTTGCTGGGATTTCCACGGGGGTGAGGTGGGGAAGGGGAATTGGGAGCTGAAAACAGCTTGGCATAAGGGAAAGAGGACAAGAACTTGGTGTGAAAAGAAACCTCAGTGTTTTAATTGGCCCAGCAGACAGCACCAGCCAGCCCCAAGGAAAAGCAGACATCCCCAAATCCCTGCAGATACAAATTCCATGAGACATAGCATCATAATAAAAATCATAATTATATCCCCCTCACATTTTTATTTATAGAAGACGATGCCTGGAAGCTGCAAGATGTTGAACAAAGTCTCATTAAAACACTCGAGGCAGATATTTCCCTTTTCCCTCTCTGCTCTGTGGCCCTGTTAATGTGAGAAAGGTCCACAATGAGAAGAACCCATTAAATAAACAAAGCTCAGCTCCTTCCTAGCCCCAGTTTTATTATTTCCCCCCTTATTATTTTTGTTAAATAGGGAAAGCTCTCCTTTAGAAGGAAAAAATGTCCACTCCAGTCTTGGATTTATCTTTGCTGGAAGTGATGCTGAGTTGAGGAGTGAAATACGAGAGAAAAGCAGAATTTGGGTTGACTTTGTGTGTTTATTTCTCAGCATTTTGCCTCATTTTTCTCTCACTTTGGCTCATTTTGCTGTTGTGGGTCAGGATTTTCACACAGCAGCTGAGGAGAGAAGAGAATTTGCTGGAAATAGAAACTTCCAAGCCAGGCAGAAGCATTTGGTAAATGGAGTTCCCATCTTGTGTCAGATGCACCCCGAATCCCAGGATTTGAAAATAATCCCCCAATCTGACCCAGAAATAAAGGTTCCATTTCCTCAGAGCACCATCAGGACTCCGAGGCCGTTCTTTCCCTAGAAATTTCTCTAAATTTCAGTGTCCTTTTCCGAGTGTGCCTTTGTTGTCTCTGCTTCATTCCATGAATGAAGCATCTCCATGAATTTTTTCTGGATGTTTTCCTATTTTTGTGGCTGCTGGCCACCTACACCTGACTTCAGAGGTGGAGAGGGACTTGGGACAAGGAAGGTGTGGAGGTGTTGGAGGAGGCCACAGAGCTGCTCCAGGGCTGGAGCCCCTCTGGAGCCAGGCTGGGAGAGCTGGGAGTGCTCACCTGGAGAAGGGAAGGATCCAGGGAGAGCTCAGAGCCCCTTGCAGGGCCTGAAGGGGCTCCAGAAGAGCTGGAGAGGGACTGGGGACAAGGGATGGAGGGACAGGACACAGGGAATGGCTCCCAGTGCCAGAGGGCAGGGATGGATGGGAGATTGGGAATTGGGAATTGCTGGCTGGGCTGGAATTGCCAGATTTGCTGTGACTGTCCCTGGATCCCTGGCAGTGGCCAAGGCCAGGCTGGACCTTGGGGCTGGAGCAGCCTGGGACAGTGGGAGTTGTCCCTGCCATGGGAGGGGTGGCACTGGGTGGGATTTAATGTCCCTTCCAACCCAAACCATTCCAGGATTCTCTGATTCCAAGGTGGATCCTCCATCCAGTAAGAGAGGAAAATGCTGGATAACATCCTTGAAGGATACCTGCACATCAGATTGGGACAGGGAGAGCCACAGAAACGTTTTCCAGGGCTCAACCATCCCCCAGCACTGCCCCATTTCCCTGAGTGCCACATCCACAGGGCTTTAAATCCCGGCAGGAATGGGGGCTCCATCCCATTCCTGGATATTCTGTTCCATTTATTCCATTCCCTATGGACCTCTCCAATTCCCGTTTTTATCGGATCCCTCCTTCTTTCCCACTGTAGCAGCAGCACGTTTTTAATTCCATTGGACTCTGCCTGTGGGACTTTCATCTTCTGGGAAGTGGAAACCTCATCCTCGGAGTCAATTTTTCTGAGGGGTGGGATTCCCTGTCAGCTGAAATAGAAAATAATGACCGTGCTCAACAGCAGCACAAAAGCTCTTCCCGAACAAAAAGCACTCCAGGGAAATCCCTTTGAAGGCCAGAATTTCTGGAAGTACCTCTGGATTATCCCTCTAAAAACTGTGTGTGAACTGCAGGCGTGGCTGCTAAAAAAAAAAAAAAAATAAATTAAGGAATAAAAATAGAAGGAGGAAGCTCAGATTGGGAAATTATTGAACTTTTGTTGCTTTTTAAATTAAATTAAAACCCTAGGATTTTGTTTTCCACATCTGCCTTCCTTCTGCTTTCCTGTTCCTTATCCCAAAACTTTTTGATAGTCATCCCCCAGCAGGTCACTCCTGGCAGGAGGGTGAGCAATGGCACATCTGGGCTTGTGGTCACTGCCAGGAATCTTCTGGGACTGGCTGGGAATTCTAATATCCTAAAATGTTAGATTTTTGGTGAAACTGGCACAAGGAGCTTTTTCCCATTCGTTCTTTCCTCTCCGTATCCTGGGAAGGGCTCCCAGGAAGCAGAACTGAATGAATTTCGGGATGTGGGTCTGGCACGTGTTGTCACTGCCTGGAATCATCTGGGAATGGTTGGGAATGCTAGAATCCTCAAATGTTGGGTTTTCTGTGGAATTGGCAGAAGGTTTTGGGGTTTTTTTCCCATCCTTTTTTCTTTTTGTATTCTGGAAAAAGCTCCCAGCAAGTGGGAGAATGGAATAAATTTAGGGATGGGGGTCTGGCACGTGCAGTCACTGCCTGGAATCATCTGGGCTTGGTTGGGAATTCTAAAATGCTAAAATGTTGTATTTTCCCATGAAATTGGAGAAGGAGGGGTTTTTTGCCATCCATTTTCCCCTCTCTGTATNAGCCAGTGTGGGAATATTCTGGGGGAGCCACAACCCCTGCTCACTTCTTATTCCCCAGCAGGACAAGGAATTAGGAGCTATTTCTGTCCTGGGGGTCAGGAGAGAGCATTGGATCAGCCTGGATTGGATCAGGAGATAGGCACGGATTTTTTTGGAATATTGTGTTTGAATT